ATTTCTTCACCACACTGTATTGTCACAGCTCAAGTGTACCAATACCTTAGAGAAATGATCCAGCAAGATGTATAAACATCAACAGGGCATAGCCCAAATAATAATTCTGGTTGAAGATAACACTTCTCAAAAGAGGAGACAACCAAAGTGCAATTCAAACTACACATGTTTAATTATTTTGTCTTGAAGACAAACTATCCTTGGACATTTGATCTGCCTCATGATGACAGGTTTCTATGGAAAAATTATATGGCTCAACTGAATTAACCACAAAAGTATCCTTTTTTTAATCATGCACACACTTATAAAGACATAAATGGGGACAACACAATTAAACTATACAACACACAAATAAAAAAAAAAAAGGTAGTGTTAAGAAAATAAATATAAATAACAAAAGAATGAGTAATGTCATTTTTTAATTAGTATAACTAATACTTGAAATATCTTAACGAGGGTACAAAATAAAATTTATTAAACAATAAATGTAATACTGTATATGATAACACATAAGCTAAGAATCTATACCTAGTCACTAAAAGGGGCATAATTCTATTGGAATTGATAAATTCACAAGTACCTAAAAAAAAGGGGGAGGACACTCATATATGCATTCGCTAATAATTGGCCATAATGCTGAAGGATATATCAATAGTAATACGTCAGGTGAATTTATTTTTATTGAATAGTTCTAAAATGTTAATTGTCAAGCAAATACCAGCTATCGTGTTTACACTAACATATCAAGGGTATCAATTTCTCATTTATTTGTTTGATCTGTTGAATTGATGAAAATTTTTTTATATCAATAAAGAATTGATCTGTTTATATAACAAATCTTGTATTAATAAAGAAATGTTTATTAAACTGATCATTGTATAATAAAGAAGAACTGTATTATGATCATATGAACTGTATTACTGGCAACATGCAATGGAACTCTGAATTGCATGTTTCTCTGTGTGTTGAGTGATTATAAAAAATATACATTATCTCCCTTTGATAGATGGCTCCTGCTAATAATGAGAAAAGTCTATTAAACTGATGATAATGGGCATGACCCAAAATTAGGCACAAAATAGGATTTTGAATGTCAACTCCAGACACCAAGGAGAATATGGAACAAAGAGACATGTTTCTGCCCATCTCCAGAACAGAGATGCTGGCCATGAGCTAACCTGAATGATGCAAGGACAAAGCAGCTAATACAAGCAGAATATGAACACCATTCAGATAAGTGTATCATCTATTTCAGATAGATATGTATCCAAAAGCTATCACGGTCAGTGGCAGACTGGGTTGAAAATTTCTACCAAGAAAACTTGTAAAAGGTCCCGGTCAAAAGGACCCACTTAATTCCAAAAAGTAGTCAAAGGTATCAATTAAAACTAAAGGTTTTAGGCAAATAAAATGTCACATCTATTCAATATTGTTTTATTTATTTATGTTAATGCCTGCATAATACAAATATTAGAAAATTTCAATAATTTTATAATAAAAATGAAAATCACTTTGGGGTCCACAATCAAGTCCACAAACTAATACCATCTTCAATCTCTGGTTATCTATGAGGTTGAATTTGATCTTATCTGCCCTGCCAGTTCCAAAGTTCAAAAAACATTTGTGTATTTCATTGCAAACTCGACATCTGTTTTGGTAGAAATTACTTCATTTGGCTATCCTCTTTTATTATCTCTGAGGTCAAATTTGTACAGCCTCTTACTTGATATCTCTGTTATCAAGGCAAATCCACAATCTTACTGGTAGTAGTAGTAAAGAGGAATACTGTGTGTGGGGGGTATATTTATAAATATGTTCTTTTAGTTAATAACAATATTAAAGAAGAAACAAAAAAACAAAGACCTGTCTTCCAAATTTTCAAGAAAATGAAATCAGGTTTTAATTCTTTTTAATAATTCTGAAGAAGGTATAAACACAACCTCCCTGTGCATCCTTTCCTCAACCATCACAACTGAAATGTAAAGATAATCAGGTCTTCCTTGCTGTGATCAATTTTACATTTGAACAGTATAGTAAAAATACCTACGCTACGCAAAATTGAGGTTATTTTGGGAAAATGGAACATAAGATAATTTCTATTAATTTTATGCTTTTTTTTTTTTTTTTAAATTTAGGAAAGTACAACTTTAGTTAAAAATGTGTCTTTCAGATTTGATTACAAGTGCTTCCATGTATGATCATGCTTTTTTTATCTTTTCTGATGAGAGAGTCGGTGACCCAATTGACACGACCAGCTAAATTCGCTAAATCAGGCACAAATGCTGACAACTGACAAGCATTTTCTTTGATAAAAACTCAAAATTATCTCTAAAATAACTTTCTTGAGTCGATTTGTTTTCTACGGAAGAAAATATTCTCAAATTAAAAATCCCCAAGCATTCTGTGCATTGTAAAAAGAAAATATTTTGTTTTTATTTTGAAAAAAAAATCTTTTTTTTTTTATTTATATTTTTTAATTGTGCAGATTTTAATTTTAAAAAATCTCCAGGCATTCTGTGTAGTGTACATTGTAAAAAGAAAAAAAAAGAAGTTTTATTAAAATCTTCGCTTTATTTATTTGTTTTCTTTTAATTGCGCAAGTTTTTTTTTTTTTGGGGTTAATTAAAAGAATTGTAAAATAAAATTTTGTAACTTGGAAATAAGGGAAAAAAGACGTGTAGTGGATTGCTTGTTGTGTTGTTTTATTCAAGGACAAGGCAATGAAGTTAAAAATTAAAAAATATCTTTAGAGAGTGGAACTCCATTTTTTTAAAAAGAAGAACGGGAAATGTAACTTACAATCACGCACACTTATTTTTTTATTATATCAACAATTTAAATCATTTAAGTTTAGATTGCAAGAGAAAACACTAAAAAAATATTTGCAAAAAAATTCAGGTAACAATTGGCAACGAAAGCAAGTTGTAAAAATAGTTTCTGAATGTTATTGTTCTAGTTCAGTAAAAAAAATAATAATCTCTAATCAATCAAGTAACTGTAACATTTATTTTTATTTTTCAAATGATATTTCATTTTTGGAAGATTTCTAAAATGTTTTAACTTTTCTGTTGACAGATCAATCAATTTATTTAAACATGGCAAAAATAATGTCTGAAAATTAACAGTTAAACTTGACGAATAATTGTTTACCTTGATTTCAAAATCAAATCTGGCTGATTGAGCATTGTCTACTTAGTTCACATGAAACTTTTTAAACTCTTAAAATTTATAGTGTCCGGCCGATGAAAACTTGATTTATTTTTTTTTAATACATCATTAATTACATACAGTTTTTTTTTTTTGCTTAAAAAAATATAACTGAAAATGAACAGTATTATTATATTATTGTTGGCGGGGGGGGGCATTTGGCTGTCAACTCCGTTGAAAGTCCACAATTGATGACAAAAAATTTATCTTGTTTCCTGGATCTGTTCAATTATGGAAAGCCAAAAATAAGAAAACACCAGAAACGTTTTATTTATACGTAAAAGAATAGAATCTAGACAATACACCTTTTTACACGGTAAGCAGCGACAGGTGAATTACAATTGGTCTAATTAAACATCAACGGGTAATTAGCTGTTTAATCTCCGCGCTAAGATTATTTATTTCGTAAAAAAAAAACAATACAAAATTGTGGCACAAGGCCAATGGGGAGTGGCTGGTTTTCATTAGCTATCCCAGTCAATCAGAATCACGACCCATTCATTCATTACAATTTATGCTCATTCACAAGAACTCATCTATCAACATCCAATCTTCCATATACCATAATACCGCATATTCACAGGGAACCTAAAAATTTCATTTCATAGTCCTTAAGCCCCGCGCTAAGTATGTAATAAAAATTTCCCAAATATTTAGGTGTACATGCTTAATTCGAAAATAACAAAATTTTGATTTCGATAAAAACAAGCCGCTAAAAAGGCTATTTAAAAAACAAACTTGTAGATTTCTTTTTAATCAAGCACCCATCTCATTTAGTGGAAAGAAAGAGAATTATTTTATTTTTAATTTTCGAATCTTTTTTATGTTGTTTTTTTTTAGCAACCATAAAATTTTAACTTGAGATTAAAATTAAATCTTTCTTTTGTCGTGAGTTTTTAAAGTGTATGATGAACAATGAACATGCCACGTACCACGACTATTCGTAAAAAGGGATAAAAACTTTTGGTTGGAATTGCCACATTTCTATTTCATACTTTTTAAAAACATTTATTTATAGACCTCAGGCGAATTTCGAGTGTAAATCGAAAAAAAAAAAAAAAAATGCTTTTTTTAAAATAATTTTTATAGATTATCATTCTTTTTAGATCTTCCTTATGCCGCGACATTTGTTAGAATTGAAAAAACACTAATTGGTTATCTATTAGAAGACGTGGGGGGGTGTTCGTAGAGATACGGTGTAAAATCGATCCCTGACTTTTGAACAACTGTCGAAAATAACCTGACAAACAATATTGTTGCTTAGCTTGTGTAAAATATGAAATGACAAATCTTTGTTAAAAAGAAGAAAAAAATTATTTCGCCAGACAATTCTTATTGTTTGTTTATATTTTCTTAAATGAAAGACATGAAACATGTATATATCCGTTTGCTTTTGAAATTAAAAAAAATATGTAGATACTACCAATACGTTACAAAAAAGTAGTTTCAAAATTAAACATTTCAAAGTCTCGACAACTCTTCAACGTCAGGGGTCGATTTTTTATTGTTTCGCTATTATAACTCCACTTCTAAATCGATAGCTAATCTATATTTTTCAATTCTGACACGCATCGCAGCTTAAGAAAAGTCTCTAAAGAACACAAAAATTAATTTAAAAATTCCCTATTTTTTATGAGTTCCATCTTTCTCATTCGTCACGTAATTAAAATTAAAAATAAATTACTACATTTTTATTCGGATTAGACTAGAGATAAAATGAGAATTATTATTTTATTTATTTATTTATTTATTTATTTTTTTGTAATTCGGGTTTTAAATAGTGAATTACTCACCTTTTGCAACTGGGCACAATTCATGTCTGAAATCTTGTAGAATCTTCTTACTTGACTAACGCATGTTTCAAATATTGAAATTGGTTATGAAGTAAGAGTTATCTCCCTTAGTCAACGCCAGTCTGTTCCAAGCTCTGAGCTACAAAACAAGTAGTAAGATTACTACACCAATGTTCCGAAATGAGATGGCTTACATTGAAAATAAGCATCCGCAATCCTGATTTTTATCTGGGTCAATCTTATCGCTGGTGACAAATTTGTACACTATTTCAGCCACTAGGCAGGCCACACCAGAAAATTAAAACCCCAAATCTTTAAAAGTTGTCTCTGAAGACTTAAGTGAAAGAACTAAAGGTGAACTTTAATGCTCAGAAAATGAATAAAACTAATAAGAAAATATCTATAAGTTTGGTTTTCAACTTCATTCTTATACAGACTTACATATATGAAGATAGATAAAATATGGACATAGAAATTAACAGTGGTGGTGACTGGCAAAACCAATCATCAGACCATCTTGTTCTGATGATTACAAGGTATGATGATCACTTAAGGCATGAAGCTACCATTCACCATGCAATGTTAATTTCTATGTCCACACTTTTTACATCTGCAAACACTCTATTCTTGATATTGAGCACTCTATCACAACACATATAACAAAATTTAAACACACACAAACTCACTAGTAAAAAATAAAATTGCAGCACCCTGTGTAGAGGGCCGTGGCTGTTATGTTGGTTACGGTTTGATGAAGACAGACGTGGACGAAACGCCTGTAATTCATTCCTGCTACCATCTTAAAAAAAATTGGACTTGAAGTCCAAAGAAGAAGGAAAAGAAAGCAAACAAAACAAGACTGATAATATATGTATACACAACAAATATATATTCATAACAAGTTACAATACAAGAAAACAGTACAAAGGACAAAGTGTTAATTTCCGTGTGTGCGAGCGTGTCCACACTTTGATTTCACATTTCTTGTTACTCTACATTTTGAGGTTGATAGTTGAAATCCTCTAGGAAGAAGAGAATTTAACTCAGTGCGTTTAAACAAAAAGTAAAAAACTCACTCAGTAAAAAAATAAAGAGAGACCTCTGGTGAAAGGGTTACAAACTGAATGTAACTCCGAATTTATTTAAATTTAAAAATTAAATTATAGATAATATAGCTGGCATGCAGGAAATCTTACTTATTATAAAACGCAGATTGTGTGGGTGTGTGTGTGTCTGTAACGTTTATATATTGGATCGGATTTCCTACATTTTTCAACCGATTTCAACAAAACTTCACAGGACTACATAAAATTACCTTGTGGTGGTTCTAACAGCGCCAAAAATGGGAAAAATATAATTATTTTTGCACAAAATCAATTTGAAAACACGATTAAGAGACATCGTGAAAATGGAAGGGGGACAACTCACATCAGGTTGTTTGTGTGGGTGGGTTCCTTTAAATATGGGATCGGATTTCCTATATTTTTCAACCAATAAAACAAAACTTCACTTTTTTTTTTGGCAGGTAGTGTTTCTTATTGTCTTGCACACTTTTTTCTTTATTTTTACATTCAGAATGCTTTAAAAATTCCATTTACAAGACAATTATTTATAATAAAATTCTATTCAATCGGTAGAGACTCATAACAATTGAAAACAATGTTTTTGTTTGAGTTTGGGTTTGACCAATTCCTAAAAAAAAAAAAAAAAATAATTAAGACATGCGTGTCCGTCAACCTTAAACAATAATCTAACGATCTCTACTGATTGTACGAATACAAACATTGGATAAATTCTTTATCTTTAGGGAAAGATAATGAAATCTAAACATACAAAAGTCCTAACTAAAAATAATAACCGGAACAGGAAACTACTTTAAATACACATGATGTCCAATTTTTTTACTGTATTCAATAAGTAAAAATCATAAATTGTTAGATCATAATTAATAAACCCAAATAAAGTTAATATTTTTTGTATTAGAAACGAGTGGAAAATATATTCAAATCAGAATTCTACTTATGAATCACCACAAGCAAAATATGCAATTTTTTTGTATTCACTGTAAAAATCAATAATTGTAAAAAATCAAAATTGTAAAACTAAAAAATTTTTTAACCGATTTCAACAAAACTTCACTTTTTTTTGCATGTAGTGTTTCTTATTGTCTTGCACACTTTTTTTTTTTATTTTTACATTCAGAATGCTTTAAAAATTCCATTTACAAGACAATTGTTTATAATAAAATTCTATTCAATCGGTAGAGACTCATAACGATTGAAAACAATGTTTTTGTTTGAGTTTGGGTTTGACCAATTCGTAAAAAAAAACAAAAAAACTAAGACATGTGTGTCTGTCAACCTTAAACAATAATCTTTGTCAATTTTATTTTTCAGTCTTTATGATGGTGGATACTTGATCTATCTCTTACTGTTGTATCCCTGGGCAATGCTGGTCTCTACTGCTAGTGACATATAAAAATCAGTGAGTTGACAGGTTCCATAAGAGGTGCATCAACAGTACTCAGATTCCATATTAAGACACTTAGGGATTAATATAGGTCTGTACTCTCACATGCATGCGATCATACATATGACAGATAGTATCTTGTGATACATCTCTTGCACCTGTACAGCAAGAGTTGTAGGTGGGATAATTGAATGAGTTAAGCATTGTTCCATCATGTCCCATACACATACAATATGGAAGCCAAGTGAAGTTGCTGAACATCTTGCAAAGCATGTTGAATAGTATAGGTATCATGTGGGCTGGCATTATCCAACTGGAACAGTACATTGCCTTCCTGTTACAGGAATGGGAGCAAGAGTTGAACAATATTCTGGATGTACATAGGGTTCTTTAATGTTCCACTCACAAACAACAAAGGTGACTAATGGTTGAAACATGTAAGCTCCTCACACTATATCAAGGGTTGGACTTGTGTGTCCTGAGTGAATATCTTCTAGAGCAGTATTTTTCAAACTTTTTTTTTTTTTTTACTGCAACATCCAGCAAGAACCACATTTTGCATTGCGACCCATTATACCTACCTAAATCAACAACAAACCTTGTTCACTATGTTTATTTATTTAGCATCAACAATTTATATATGTATATCTTATGATTCACACATATTGGAATTGCATGTATCTATTTGCATTATCTATTTGTATAAATATAAAATTATTACTTTGTTGTAGAGTAGTTTTCACAGTGGAGGCTTGTATTCCAATAAGTCGTCCTAAATTAGGTTCTTGAAAACTTTTTAAATGTTAGGAACTTGGAAATAAGAGTTAATGACACAGCAATCTAGTTGTGATGGTTGGTACTTCAATGTCCAATATCGACTGGCCACTGCTACTACTACTTATTATGTGTGGGAGAGTCTATTAATAATAGAATAGGTACGTCAGGTATGACATCCCCCCCTAAAACTTTACTCCGCAGGAGTAAAAAGTTTTCTTTCTTTAAATTTTTTTCGTATGAATTTCGAATTCTGGTTGCCAAAGTTGTTATAGAGTGAACAAAAAATTTTTCTTACGTATGAATTACGAATTTCTTGTCGCCAATGTGTTGTTAGGCGTAAGAAAAGTTTTTTTTTTCTCCGTCTGAAAACAAATCCCTCGTTTAAATATTCAATGTTGTAGAGTAAAATGTAAAAAAAATTTTTCTTTTCCGTGTGAATTACTTAATCCCTATCATCAAATGTTGTAGTAAAATAAACAAAAAATTTTTCTTTTCCCGTGTGAATTACAAATCCTTTGTCGCCAAATGTTGTACAGTAGTTTTCACAGTGGAGGCTTGTATTCCAATAAGTCGTTCTAAATTAGGTTCGACGTACCAAACGTTAGGAACTTGGAAATAAGAGTTAATGACGCAGCAATCTAGTTGTGATGGTTGGCACTTCAATGTCCGATATCGACTGACTCGCTCAACCCCACCGAGCCGAACTGGCCACTGCTACTACTACTACTACTACTTATTATGTGTGGGAGAGTCTATTAATAATAGAATAGGTATGTCAGGTATGACATACTTTCAGAAAAAAAAAATTTAAAGGAAATTCTGTCACTCAGTCTGCAACAAGTTTGACAAACAAGATGCATAAACTCAATGAGAACAGACTATATATATAATTTAATTAGAAAACAGACAACCTTAAGGGTCCATTGATTATATTTTATTTCCCCAGGGAGGTGGTTTTTTCCTGGTTCATCAGATCACATTTCCAAGGATAAAAACATGATTTTAAATTTACGTCTATATATATAATTATATTTACATTTATATATATATATAGAAAGAGGGAGAGAGAGAGAGACAGAGATTTTAAAAAAATAAAATGAGCTTACCTCAGTGAAAACTAGCAATGATTTATGAGTACTGTGCAAAATTTAGAGCTATTTATATTTTAAACTTTGCTCTCACTTGCATATTTTTTTTCTTCCTGTTTTGTTGCAACCCATTTATCTTGCAATTCAGTGAAGGATAGGGACCCACAGTTTGAAAAACGCTACTCTAGAGGATATTGCTCCCCAAGTTTATGTCTTATACACAACCATCACTTGCATGAAGGCAAAACCTCCTCTCTTCACTGAACATCACAGAGTGCTGTTCAATCCTGCAGATGACCCTTTTGCAATACTACTATAAATTATCAAGTTCTTAACACATAAGTCCCTGACAGTAGTTGCTAATGACCAGTTCTCCAATGTCCATGTAATCAATGCAGGTATCTCCTAAGGCTTGCTTCTTGAACCAATTCTTTCTACTTTACATTAATGATCTAAGAATATACTCTAATCTTTTCTCAGAAAATCTCAGAAAAAAGGCTTGTCTTGAGTGTCTATTGGAACCCAAGACCTCAAATGGAATTCACTAGAGATGCTGGAAAAATGATCAGTTCCCTGTACCACTCCAGTAAGTACCTGACTCCTTCTGCTATCCTCTACCTTTACAAAAGCCAAAAATGGAGTACTGCTACCATATACAGATGGGAAAGGCATTAATAAACTTTTCTTTAT